GGACTTCCAGCAGGCATGTGTGAGCGTGTTTCATAGGAGTGAATGGAGACAAATGGTTTTAATACTTGACGTGTGTTGGAGTGTGAGCAAAGTAACATTTATGAAGGGGTTCAGGGAAACTGGCAGGCCGGACTTTAGTCCTGGAGATTCGAAGTACAGTGCCTGCACTCTGAAGGGGGGGGGGGGTGTTAATGTTGCAGTTTAAAAAACTGTAGTGTAAAGCCCCTTCTGGCAAGACAGTGATGGAGTGAATGATGGTGAAAGTTTTTTTTTTTCGGGCCCCCTGCCTTGGTGGGAATCGGCCAGTGTGATAAAAATTTAAAAATAATAATAATAAAATAATAATATATATATATATATATATTTTATATATATATATATTTATATATAAATATATATATATATATATATATAAAATATATATATATTTATATATTTATATATTATATTTTATATATATATATATTCCTATTGGTAAAAAAAAATATATTAAAAGATTGGGTGGTAGGGGAAGGGGGAATATTCAAACGGCTTCAGGAAGAAATCCAAATATTTTTCCCTTGAAGCCTTTTTATCCACTTCTCGGGCTATGGGTCCCTCAATTTACACCAGAGGTGGACCCCATCCTATAAAAAAAAAATAATATATATATATATATATATATTATATATTTATATATATATATATATATATAAAATATTATATATATTTATATATATTATTTATATTATATTTTTATTTTTTTATATATATATATATTTTATATATATATATATATATATATATATTATATATATTTATATTATATATATATATATATATTTATTTATATACATGTATATGCATTCATAAATGCATACATACTTTCTTTACATACATAATGCGGTTCATATATTTTTAAACCGTTGATTCCATCTGCGACCTTCAAATTCATGTAGGAAACACGAGAAACAGAGATTATTATAATTTGTTTTCAGTTTTCATGGAGGAGATTTAGAGATTCACATTTGACACTCATCAATACACAATAACATGTACACTCATACACAATATGGGGACACTCATAAAACCAATATGTGACATCATACAAAATTATGTGACACTCATACACAATATGTGACACTCATACACAATATGTGACACTCATACACAATATGTGACACTCATACACAATATGTGACACTCATACACAATATGTGACACTCATACACAATATGTGACACTCATACAAAATTTATGTGACACTCATACACAATATGTCACATAAACAATATGTGACACTCATTCACTCAAACACATTCCGCAAACAATACACTCATTCTTACAAAATAACATGTACATATGACATTCATCAACACACAATAACATGTACACATGACACCCATACACAATAACATGTACACATGACACATACACAATAACATGCACACATAACACCCATACACAATAACATGTACACATGACACCCATACACAATAACATGTACAACAGGGACACATACACAATAACATGCACACATAACACCCATACACAATACATGTACACATGACACATACACAATAACATGCACACTAAACCCATACCAATAACATGTAAAACATGACACCCATACCCCAATAACATGTACACATGACACATACACAATAACATGCACACATAACACCCATACACAATAACATGTACACATGACACCCATACACAATAACATGTACACATGACACCCATACACAATAACATGTACACATGACACCCATACACAATAACATGTACACATGACACATACACAATAACATGCACACATAACACCCATACACAATAACATGTACACATGACACCCATACACAATAACATGTACACATGACACCCATACACAATAACATGTACACATGACACCCATACACAATAACATGTACACATGACACATACACAATAACATGCACACATAACACCCATACACAATAACATGTACACATGACACCCATACACAATAACATGTACACATGACACCCATACACAATAACATGTACACATGACACCCATACACAATAACATGTACACATTACACCCATACACAATAACATGTACATATGACACCCATACACAATAACATGTACATATGACACCCATACACAATAACATGTACACATAACACCCATACACAATAACATACACACATAACACCCATACACAACAAACATGTACACATAACCCCCATACACAATAAACATGTGCACATGACATCCAAAACACAATAAGATGTACACATGACACACATACACAATAACAGTACACATGACACAATACAAAAAACATGCCTCATGACACACATACAAAATTTACATGTACACAAAAACACCCATATATAAAAATATACACACATGACACAGTCTTCCACTAGTGTCACAAACATGTTCAACTTTTATATTTACATATTTCACAAAGAAGGGTCGTCGAAATACCGAAAACCCAGCATATAAATGTATGTGAAAATACTGATATATGTGTTGTTTGTTCGATGCCCTTTGTGTCAAATGAAAGACCAATAAATAAATAAAAGGGAAACCTGTGTAATATTTAATACAGTTTTGATGGAGGTGGAAAAGTTCTTAAAACACTTGGCCATTCATCCACATAAAATAAAACAATCACAATACTTTTAAACTACTAAATAAGCAAGAAAATTTCGTACTAAGTTAAATTCATTGGTAATATAAAAGGATTTCCAAATTGTTCTTAATTAGCCTCTTCTCGGTGGCCGAGTTTGTGTGCGAGCTTCGTCTCGTCTACCGGGCCCTACTGTTCCAGGCTGTCTTGGTGGGTGTAAATTACTGGACACAGTTTACTGTGTGTCCCCTCCAGTAAATTCACCAACCCGGACAGTCTCGGCAGTAGACCAGCTGGACAAGACCAATTTGCACCCAGCAAAGTCACTGTGGGTGGCAACCGCTGACTCTGGGGAAGTGGGGAAGGGAGTCCACCTGAGGTGACACAAGTGGACTCCTGGAGACACTGATCCGGGGAAGGCACCGCTGACCTTTGGTAAGTGAGGAAGGGGAAACATCCGGAGTGAACGGATGAATTCCTGGATACATGAACCTGGGGAAGGCATGAATACTAGCAGTTGAGGCTAACCCTGTGTAAGTGGGGAAGGGGAGACATCCGGCGGTAGACGGATGGATTCCTGGATTCATGAACCTGGGGAAGGCATGAATACTAGCAGTTGAGGCTCACCTTAGGTAAGTGGGGAAGGGGAGACATCCGGCGGCGGACGGATGGATTCCTGGATAATGATCCTGGGGAAAGGGAAGCATACAGCTGACTTCGAGAAAGTGGGGGAGGGAGTCCACTCAGGGGGACTCAAGTGGACTCCTGGAGACACTGATCCGGGGAAGGCACTGACCTATCTCTCTGACCTTAGGTAAGTGGGGAAAGGAAGACATCCGGGAGCAAACGGATGGATTCCTTGATACATGAACTTGGGGATGGTTGTTGTTGAGGCTGATCTTAGGGATGTGAGGAAGGGGAGACATCTGGGAGCGAAAAGGATGGATTCCTGGATACATGAACCTGTGGAAAGCAAGAATACAGGTTGGTGAGGCTGACCCTTTGGGGGAAATGAGGAAGGGGAAAAAATCCGGCGGCGGACGGATGGATTCCTGGATACATGAACCTGGGAAAGGCTGAGGCTGGAAGGCAGAGAGAGAGAGAGAGAGAGAGAGAGAGAGGCGAGGCTGACCTTAGGGAAGTGAGGAAGGGGAGACATCCGGGGGCCCACGGATGGATTCCTGGACACATGAACCTGGGGAAGGCGAGGGGGGGGGGACCTTTAAGAGTAACTCTGGTCAGATCACTGACAGTGATAAGGATATGTGTGAAATTCTCAATGCCTACTTCCTCTCAGTTTTCACCCAGGAAAATACTAGCGATATTCCTGAAATAATAGATTATGTAGAACAGGATGATAATAAACTATGCACGATTGCGGTAACTAGTGACATGGTCCTCAGACAAATAGAGAAACTAAAACCTAACAAATCCCCAGGTCCTGTGAACTGTTTGCAAGGGTGTTAAAGGAATGTAAAGAGGATACTTAGCATACCTTTGGCTAATCTTTTTAACATATCACTACAAACTGGCATAGTGCCTGACAAGTGGAAAAGGGCAAATGTAATACCCATTTACAAGGCAGGTGGACAGACCATGGCTTCGAACTAATATATATATTATTAATATAATATATATATTTTTATATATATATATATATATATATATATATATATATAATATATATATTATAATATTATAATATATATCTTTTCTTTCAACACACCAGCCGTATCCCACCCAGGCGGGGTGGCCCAAAAGGGAAAAACGAAAGTTTCTCCTTTTACATTTAGTAATATATACAGGAGAAGAGGTTACTAGCCCCCTTGCTCCCGGCATTTTAGTCGCCTTTTTACAACACGCATGGCTTACGGGGGAAGAATTCTGTTCCACTTCCCCATGGAGATAAGAGGAAATAAACAAGAATAAGAAACTAGAAAGGAAAATAGAAGAAAAAACCCCGAGGGGTGTGCATATATGTTGCTTGTACATGTATGTGTAGTGTGACCCAAGTGTAAGTAGAAGTAGCAAGACGTACCTGAAATCTTGCATGTTCATGAGACAGAAAAAGGGGCACCAGCAATCCTACCATCATGTAAAACAATTACAGGCTTTCGTTTTTTCACTCACTTGGCAGGACGGTAGTACCTCCCTGGGCGGTTGCTGTCTACCAACCCACTACCTATATTATCTATGATTTATAACTTACTGCTAAGAGTATCTTTGCCATAAAATGTAAAATTTTTAAAAAGTACTTGTAAAAAATATCTTTTATAAGAACTTTTAATTCCCTATGCACTTTTTTTTATTTCATTGCAAATTCTGCTTTAAAAGTTAAATAATAAGATGAAATGTTCATAGGCCCAAGACATAAAGAATCTAATACTATCCTTTTGTTAAGTTTCTATATCATTGATTTTCCTCATGGGTATATTTGCATGAAGTTTTTCAGCTCTGTCCCTTAATTTACCCAGCTCCTCTTGAATCTTGTCTGTGATGACTTTACGAGCTGTTTTTAGGGTCCTCCTGCTTCTCCTTCATTTCAGATACTAATGCCTTGAAATCCATTGGCTCTCCAACCCCAACAGTTACTGTCTTTCCCACTCTGGGGGAAAATAAGGAACTCGAGTTGGGAGATTTGGTCCATTCCAACGTGGTAGAATGGCAAAACAATAGGGCAAACCGGTGAATCATATACTAGTCTTCCAACACCCCATTTGAGGCGGATGTGTTCCATGCCCATGTTTACCTTACCCTCAGGAAATATATGCACCCACTGGCCTTCCTTCAGTCTCTCAATCATGAAATCCATTGCTTGCTGATACACTCCAAGTCCTCTAATAATTGGAATACACTTTCCATGGCTGAAGAACCAACTGTAAAATTGACGAGTGAAAGCAATATCATGGGCAGCAGGAGACCAGCGCATTGTGTGAGCACTCCACAAATCTCGCCATCTTAACAAACCTCTACCTAGTGTGCCTAGCACAGAGAAAATGGCTCTCTTGATGGAAGAAAACATAGTTCCAATCACAGACTAGAGTGCTCTTGTTAATCACTAGTATAAGTTTTGAGATACATATCTCGTAAGAAATGATCGATGATTTTATTACAGTTTGTTACTGTGTGATTGTGAATATGGTTTCAGAAAAAGTTGTAGTGCAGCCGCTCTCTTGCAGCAGCCAATCTCTTGTTTAGCCTCCCCACAACTGGTGCCTTGACCAGGTGTGGTACCACAGTCCCAAAGTGCAGGATCATCAATGCAGGAGTAATGGTTTGATACAGTAACAAGAGGTACACCTTTGGTCTATTCCAACCAACCCTATATTATATTTTTAT